CTGAACACAGAACCAGAAATAAGTCCTAAGCACTGTGGTGTGGCTCACAAACCCCTCAAAAAGAGAGCCCAATAGATTTCAGAGGGGTTAAGGTGCTTGTCTAGCATTCATCCCACCCTGGTTCTATCCTCAGATCCCTGCCAAAAGTAATACCTGAGCATAGAGCCAGGAGTAAGCCCTGAGCATCACTGCCTGTGGCCCTAAAATAAAACAATAAGAATAAAAAAAGATGAGTGCCTGATGCTTACCTTGACTGAAGCTGACCCAGATAAAAACTCTGGTTCCCCCTATGGCTCCCCAAGCCCTTCCATTAGTGATCCCTGAATGCAGAGCCAGAAGTAATTTCTGAGTACTGCTGGAGTGGGCCTAAAACAAAACAACAACAAAGCTTAAGGCACTTGCTGTGCATGCCACTGTACTTACAACCCTGTTTCGAACCCCAGCAACAGAGAGGGCCTCCCAAATACCTCCATGTGTGGCCCCAGAGCACCATTGGATGTGGCCCCAAAACATATAAACAAAAACTGGGAGGGGAGCCAGGGCAATAGTACACTGGGTAGGGCTGATCCAGGTGCGATCTCCAGCATCCCATATGGCTCCCTGAGTGAGCTAGGAGTGATTCCTGAATGAAGAGCCAGGAGTAACCCCTGAGAACTGCCAGTGTGACAGAAAAACAAAAAAGAAACCAAGCAAAACTGGGAGGACCAAGGAGAGAGATTAAGTGGGAAAGCACACGCCAAGCACGTTCAAGGCCCAGAGTTCGAACCCTGGCACTAAATACCCACCCTGCAGACAGCACCGTCAAGTGAACTTCTGGTCATCAACTCCCAGACCTCAGTCACGTAGCATAGGGCCGGAAGATCACACTGTCAGTTCTGCAGGACTGGGGCCAAGCATGATCCAGGGTGGTAGTAGGAAATAAAAAAAAAAAAACCCCTAGATGAAACTAATGTAATACAACTTCCACTATTACTATGAAATGGGGTTTAAGCTTTCTATAACTCAGAGATTTTTTTTTTGCTTTTTGGGTCACACCCAGCAATACTCAAGGGTTACTCCTGGCTCTGCACTCAGGGATTACTCCTGGCAGTGCTCAGGAGACCATATGGGATGCTGGAAATCGAACCTGGGTTGGCTGTGTGCAAGGCAAATGCCCTACCCACTGTGCTATAGCTCCAGCCCGATAACTCAGAGATTTTTGGAGGCGTGTGGGAAAACACCCAGCAATGCTCAATACTTACTGCTCCCTCTGTATTCAGGGAATCACTCCTGGTAGGGTTCGTCAGAACCTATGCAGTTCCGGGATCAAAGTGTTGTCGGCCACATAGAAAGTAGGCACCATACCCACTGTGCTATTTCTCCAACCCTTGATTTTCTTATTTAACATCAAGGAAACTACCACTATTTTGTGCCCCCAAACGATTTTCTTTATTTTGGGGACCATATCATCCAGCAATACTTGGGGCTTACTCCTGACTTGACTCTGCACTCAGGAATCACTCTGGGTTGGGGCTTAGGGGACCCTATGGGATGCCAGGCATCATATCTGGGTTATCCACATGCAAGGCAAGTGTCTTATCCACTGTCCTGTTTCTCTGGCTCCTCATGCCCAAAACTATTTTAATTTTTGGATTTGGGGCCAAACCCAGCGATGCTCATGGGTTATTCCTAGCTCTGCACTCAGGGATCACTCCTGGTGGTGCTCAGACCATATGGGATGCTGGGGATCAAACCTGGGTTTGGTCGCATGCAAGGCAATGCCCTATTTGTTATATTACCACTTTGGCCCCACCCAAAACTATTTTTGACTACCTCATATCAAGTTTGTTTTACTATCCTTCACCATACTCCAATCCAGAGATCCATAGCCCTTTCGCTGTGTGATGTACTTTATGGACTTAAATTGCCATATATTGTAAAATGCATAAAACAAAGCAAATACAATTACATAGGAAATCAATAACATAATACAATTTATTTTTCTTTGGGGGCCACTACACCCAGTGATGCTCACTGGCTATTTCCAGATCAGTGCTGGTATGACCATATGCAGTGCCAAGGATTGAACCTGGGCCCCCTGAATGAAAAGTATACATTCCAGCCCATTGAGTTTTTGACCCCGTCCATCAACATATCTCAAAAGATGCGTTTGCTTCTGTACACCAAAACTATAATGTCAACGATATTGTAAACATATAACCTAAACTATAATAACTAAATTTTTAATGTAGGAAAAAATGAAATGCTTGCTGGGGCTGGAGAGACAGTGCAGTGGGCAGGGTACTTGCCTTGCAAGCAGTCAACCCAGGTTTAATCCCCAGCAACACCTACGGTCCTCCGAGCCCCACCAGGAGTAATTCCTGAGTGTAGAGCCAGGAGTAACTGCTGATCATCACCAGGTGCAGCCCCCAAACTAAAACAAACCTAAACAATGTTTGCTTCTACCAATGTCCATTGCAGCATGGTATGGAAAGACCCCCAAATGTCCAAGGACAGATGAGTTGATTAAGAAGTTGTGGTATGAAGCCACAGTGATAGTACAGTGGGTGGAGTGCCTACCTTTTATGTGGCTGACATGACTGTCAGATAACCAGCACCACATATGGTCCCCTGAACACCACCAGGAGTGATCCCTGAGCACAGAGCCAGGAGTAAGCCTTCCACACTGCTGCATGTGGTCTCCCCAAATAAAACAAAACAAAAAAGAAGTGTGGTTTAGAGACACATTGAAATACAATATAACTGCAAGAAAAGACGAAGTAATGCAGCATCCTTGAAGTAGATGCAACTGGAGAGAATCATGTTCAATGAAATAAATCAAAGGTAGGGCAAATACAGATGATCTCATTCCACTGGGCAACAGAGAGGATGCAAGGCAACTGTCAGCTTCAAACAGTGACAAACCCTTTGCCTTGGATTACAAGACTACTAAACAGAGGGAGGGTGGATAAAGATCTGACTAGGAGTGGAGGTTCTTTGGCATCCAAGTTATGAAAAGAGAAGTGACAGAACCTTGGCTTACTGGCTCCAAGAGGAGGGGGTCAGAGAATTTACTAGAAGAGCAAGATGGTTGGTCAGACCAACACATTGAAGGCCTCCAGAGGCTGAATATGGCTTATTACAGTCTTTTATTGTGTCTCTGGGCTGTTGAAGTAGAAGTTTCTGCTTTCTATAGATCAGTTTACTCTGGGAGGTCAATGATATGTGTAGCCAGTTCTGGGGAGTGAGCTGTAAACAAAATGTTCTGAACCAATAATGACATGGGAGTTAGATGGATGTATATAAAATACTTTGAGCCTTGGGGGCTGGAGCAATAGCACAGCGGGTAGGGCGTTTGTCTTGCATGCGGCCAACCCAGGTTCGATTCCCAGCATCCCATATGGTCCCCTGAGCACCACCAGGGGTAATTCCTGAGTGCAGAGCCAGGAGTAAACCCCTGTGCATTGCTGGGTGTAACCCAAAAAGCAAAAAATAAAATGAGATAAACTGTGCAAATTTAAAAAAAAATACTCTGAGCCTAGGGATTGGAGCAATACTACAGTGAGTAGGGCACTCGCTTTGCACATGGCAAACCTGGTTAGATTCCAGGCACCAAACAGGATCATTCAAGCATCACCAGGAATAATTCCTGAGTGCTGAGCCAGGAGCAACCCTTGAGCCCTGCCAGGTATGACCCAGAAACCAAAACAAACAAAAACCCCAAACTTTGATCCTATCCCAGGGAGTGGCTGGACCCATTCTAGGAATGTAGCTGCAGCTCGGAGCTACAGTGGTGCCTCTAGTCTCCTGGGCGCAGCTGATGTCAGAGGGACAGCACAGCAATGATGGACTAGCAGTGATGGTCTCAATCTGCCCGGATTTTACATATATAAATCAAACTAAGTGTCTTAAAAATAAGATGAGCTTTTGTCTAGCAGGGAATAGGCGCACCCAGAGGTGCTCAAGACTGACTCCTGGTTCTGCACTTAAGGATTACTCTTGGTGAGGTGTGAGGAGGCAGGGATCAAACCTGGGGGTACCCTGTGCAATACTAAGCACTTTAATCTATAGATAGGCCCCTAGGTCTCTTTTTATTGGGCTTAGGCTAGACTCCTTCCAGTTAAGGAGGTGGTGATGTGCACCAACTTTGTACATCAACATTACAAACTTAAACAATATTGCAACCGTACTACCCAAACTACTAAATATTACTCAGAAAAACTGCTCTTTTGTATTTGGGGGCCACACTTCTGGTATCTGGGACCACTCCCAGCGCGGCTTGAGAAGCCATATGGGGTGCAGGGCTCGAACCCGGGTGGGCCACGTGCAAGACAAAAGAGGCTTTCCCGCTGTAATCTCTCTGCCCCCTCAAACTGCTGAAATTGAAAAAAAAGAAATATCTGCTTGGATAAGGGAGAGAGCTAAGATTCGAGCCCTAGAATCACAAGATCCCTTGAGCACCTAGCCTGGATTAGTTGCCCAAGAACCGCCGGAAGGGGTGGAAACCCAAAAACAAAAAAAAATGAAGACTCAGCGATTTCACGTTAAATTGAAAACTCCATGACACTCGCCCAGTTTAAAGCGTGCAGCTAGTCTCACAGCCCCTCCCTCCCAGACTTCCTCCAACACTCGTGACCAACCGAATCCCGCGCTCACAGCCAATTGGACCTCCGGGAGAAAGTTGCCTCCGGCCACCCAATCCGGGCGCAACATTCCCAAACCCACCCCCTTGGCGTACTCCCGCGCCACTCCAAATCACGTGACGCCCTTCCCGCCCAAGCTTGGGCCCGAAGCCCCGCCCCCTCGGCCCATCCTGCTTACGCAAGGACTTGTTTGGCATCTACCACGGGCGGTCTGCTCCACTCATCCATGAAGCAGGGTCCCCCACCGGAGCCTGCAGGCCACTGAGGATCCCATATACGTAAGTGAGCCCAAACCAACTCCATTTCGCGCGAGTGAGCGCGGTTTCCCACCGCCCCACCGGGAGCGCGCCGCCACGATGGCCGCCAGTAGGAAGCGATTGGCGCAAACGTCACCTCCCAAGTCCCGCCCCCACCAGAGCCTTCTAAACACGTTCTTCCGCCCACTTCCCCCTTTCTCTCCTTTCCTCCGCCATCGTCGCGGTGTGAACGTGGCTCTTCGCCATGGTAAGTTGAATCCCTTACCATCGGCTCGGGGATGGCTTCTCCACGCCTCAGGTTCTCGCTAGTTTTCCCGGGTCGAGGGCTGCATCGGGGGCCGGGAGCCATTTTAAGGCTTTTTCCAGAAAAGTTCGATTTTGGCCGCGGTGAAGTCCTTCGGGCCTGTTGGGAAACTAACGCGGAATTGGGCGCCCCGAGAAGGGCGGGCTGCGCTGGCGCCACAAAGTCCGAGGGGGCGCTCTCTACCGAGCCACCGCCCAGGTTAACAGGGTTTCGTTTTCTTTCGCCCTTCTTTGAAGGAACTTTTCTGGGCAGGGAGATACTGCGGGATGGGTAGATTTCCGCAGTCGTGGCCGCCCCCCCCCCCCGCCCCGTGCAGACTGCCGGACACTTGCGGCGGTGCCAGGCACGGAAGACGGGCTAGAAACTGGTGATTTTTTGCAAAAGTGTTTAACTTGGCGAGGTACACACTACATTGTGACCTGGCAGGAATTTTGAGCCAATTTTTTTTGGCGGGGGGGACTTGAGTGGTACCGCGTGGGTGCCCCAGGACTTTGGGCTGTCCTTAATAGAATGAGAACTTAACGGCCACTTGGTAGGAGTTTTTTTTCTGGGACGATTCCATGAGAAATTGAATTTGGGGGTTTCTAGGCCGCGAGAGGGCCCTCGGCCGACTTGAACTTAAAATGCTCCGATTTTTTTGTTGTTGGGGGGGGCACAGCCGGCGGTGTATGCTCGGGGCTCTGGCTCACGCATCACTCCTGGCGTGCCCGAGGGACCCTTGGGGTTCCGAGGATCGAGCCCTGGTCGGCCGCGTGCAAGGCAAACGCCCTATTCGCTCTGGCTTCACCGCATCCAATTTTCTTACGTGGCCGGACGTGAGCCTAGTACGTGTACCCCGTGCCGCTGGAATTTCCTGCCAACTGCGGGGGAGGGTGGGGTGTTGGTTTGCGCTTAGAAGATCCAAATTCCTATAAAAATAAAAGGTACAATGGGCAGTTTGTACTAGGGCGGCCTTTAAAAAGGCGCCATGGTGGCGGGGGGGGGGGTGCCCGCTAAACTGCTTACGGCCCCTGGCGACTTTAAATGCAGTTAAGTCATAGCGAAAACTCTTAAACACTCTAGGATCCCTGGAAATAGTTCTTTCTGTATATGTGAGGGCGCTAAGAAGTTATCTCCTAACTAATAGCCAAATACCCCAGCCCTAACTCTCAAGTGGTCCTTTGTGTCCTGCAGTGACTAGCAGGGGACTCAGGAATACACTGCCTAGCCCCCGCAGACGAGGGAACCCTGGTTTCTTTGAATGCCAGTTCTCAGCTACTTAGAAAAGTTTGTTTCCCTCCCAGACCTTGCTTTGGAACAATGGGGATCTATGGCTCCGCCCCTCCAGCCGAACTAGGGGCGAGGCCACAGAAGTTAGGGGTGGGGGGAGACAAAAGTTCTTTGGCGGGCTGATGGGGGCGGGACACAGCCTAAGGCGTGTCTTGGCCCTGAATTAGGGGTGGGAGCAAAAAGTGTAAGATGAGTTTTAGGGTGGTTTGGGGGCGTGATCCAAATATTTTTTCTTGTTATGTTGGCTTTCTGGAGTCCTGACTTTAAAATTTTGTCAGACTCTGCTAATGTCTAAATGGGTTGCATTTCTTTGCCAGTCTTCCCACAAGACTTTCAGGATCAAGCGGTTCCTGGCCAAGAAACAAAAGCAGAATCGGCCTATTCCTCAATGGATTCGGATGAAAACTGGTAACAAGATCAGGTAAAGACTACTCTACCCAGCTTTTCCCATTTCTCTCCCCTACCCCCAGGAACAATTTTGTACAGTCTTATGTGTTCTGTTGTGAATTGATGGCTTTGGAAGAAGAACATTAGACTACCAGACATCACCTATTATTCAACTAATGCTGAGGTATTAAGAGTCATGCCAGAAGATATAGTTAACCAGGGTTAAGGCACGTACTCCCCAGCACTACGTGGCCCAAGCAACCCTGTTTTCAATTGCTACATCCTTTTTCTCGGGCCTGCTTGTGCAAGACTCACTTTAGTGCCTCCCGCAGCTTCACCCCCCCAAAATTGAGCAGGTTGCAATTCCAGTGCTTTGTTTTTGTGGGAGTGCTGGCATAACCCTGCTGAAAACAAATCTGTGCCAATCATTTTTTTTATTTTACCTTTTTCAGAGGTAAAATTACACTGATTAGCACAAACAGTTTGGAGATAAGTCCCTTTGGTCTCGAATTCATGCAGTCCTAATCTGTTAAAAGTATTTTTTTTCCTTCTGTAGTGATGGCGGGGGGGGATGTCTGCCTGGGTTTTGAATGCATGGTGTGGAGTTGGTGAGGGGCACTTCCTTTCCCCAAGTAAAGAACCAGAGTTTTCCTAATCTGGAATCCTTTTGAGAGGTAAAAATTTGATTTGACTAGTTCTTAAATACATCTAGCAAATCACTTTTTACTCTCCAAAAAGAGCTCCAAAATGCATAAGGAAATAACAGCTGCGGACACCCCTTGCCTGCCAAGGAAAGACTGAACGGTACTGTAATATGGGACATGCGCATGCCCTCCCCCCTCACTGCTGTCACTGTCATGATGGTAACCTACCCTTTGCTTCTGTGTAGGTACAACTCCAAGAGGAGGCACTGGAGAAGGACCAAGCTCGGTCTGTAAGGAGAGCCACATGAGACGCATGCGCATGAGCTGTGATAGGCTGCTAGTATCTTGAACACAGCAGGCGGAAAGGCACAACAAGTCTGAAGTCGTGTTTCTTGGATTAGGGAATCTGTTCGTCTTCTAGTTTCTGTACCTTGTTGCTAACTTGGTAATAAATCTTGTGATACCGTGCTTTCATGCCACTGAATTCTTTCCCAGGTCTGCTCATATAGTGCTCTCCTGGGACTTAACGGCTATTTCAGCCATGGTCTGCCATATGTTAGAACCTACAACACCCATCCCACAACCAGTGTCCCATTTCTCTCCTGCCACCCCTCCAGCCTGCCTCCAAAAATATAGAAAGAAAGGTTATGTGTGACACTTGACCTTTCAGCACTCAGCTCTTACCCAGAATGATCATTTCCAGCTGTCATTGTCATAGTGCTCCCTTCTATGCCCCACCCCCAGACAGATAACCTTAGGCACACATGCCTACTTGCAAAATAGGTTTTCCCATCTGTAGGAATGTATCCACGGCTTCCAAAAATGGAACATGCTAAGTGATTGCCACAGAACAGTGCAGTAGTTCTGACACGTGCATTCTACATGGCCCCAGGCCACTAACCCTCAAGGAAAAAGTATGAATCCAGTTTGGGAGACAAGTGACCCCAGACATGGAATGTACGCTACAAAGCAAAGTGAAGTTGCACCCCAGAATTGAAGGGTATGTCCAATAGCCAAGATGGAGTGTCTGCCTTTTACTTTTTTTGGACTATCCCAGGCGTCTTATTCCTGGCTCTGCACTCAGATCACTCCTGGTGGGCATCAGGGACTATATGGGGTGCTGGGGATTAAACCCAAGCCATCCATTTGTAAGGCAGAGCAGGACCTGCTGTATTGGCTGGCATATACAAAGGCTAGGAATGCTGGGAAGGTTCCGGTTTCACAAGTTTAGTGGGATATTGTCATGAAAACACAAGTTAGGTAGCTGGAGTTTAAAGCTCTAAAGTTAGTGGAGCTGGGACATTTGCCTTGCACGTGGTCTACCCCAAATGGGTGACACTGCCAAGGGTGCTGGTAAGATGGGGGCAGAGGCTGTAGTATCCTCAGGTGCCACTAGGGGCAGTCTTCACTTACAAAAAGAAGTGAGCACTTTGTCTTTCTGGAAACTTAAGCAGAGCTTAGGTTTCCAGGGGCGAGAGACAAAACAGCATGTAAGGCACCCCATATGGTTCCTGGATCCCTGCCAGTAGTGATCCTAGAGAGCAGAGCCAGGAGTAAGTCCCAAACACTGAGTGTGATCAAAAGACCATAGATTTCCAGGCTCTAAGTGAGCTCCCTCTCGGAGAGCCCGGCAAGCTACCGAGAGTATTCGATATGCCAGACACAGTAACAACAAAGTCTCCAATGGAGACGTTACTGGGCCCGCTCGAGCAAATCGACGATCAACGGGAGGGCCTTCACCTTTACCTTTAAGTGAGCTCCAAGGGCTTAGCATATACGTCACATTCAAGAGGCTTGTGTTCCATCCCTGGTACTTCATGGTTACCCTGGGGACCAAACCTGTAGGTACCCCTTAAGCACCAAACCTAGAGTAGTCCTGAGCATTGTTTGATACTTGACTCCTGTCTACCCCACAAAATTAAAAAAAAAAAATACTTCTGGGCTAGGGACATGACCCAGTGGAGTACATAGGTTTTGCATATGCAGCCCCTTGGTTCAGTTCCCAATAATGAAAAACATGGAGCTGGGGATGTGGCTCAGTGGTAGAGAACATGCCAGAAGCCCAAAGTTCTATGCCTATACTGCACAAGAAAAATAATTGGCTCTCCAGGCCACGTACTATGATGCTCAAGTCTTGCACTTGGTTCTGCACTTAGGGGTCATTCCTGGCAGGGATTGTTGGGGTTTAAAGTCGGGTCAGCTGCATGCAAAGCAAATACTGTACTTGCTGTACTATTACCTCACCCTGTGTACTACATTGTTTCTTCAGCCTCCAAAAAATTTTTTTGAGTTAAGAAAGCTGAGAAGTACACTTGCCTCACCTGTATAAGGTCCTGGGTTCAATTTCTGGCACCATCAAATTTTGGAGCCAGATAAATAGGGGTTCAGGGACTTGCTGACTGCCCCCTCCACATTTGATCATCAGTATCTCATACATCCTTAGGGGTAAGTATTGCCGGGAGTGGCCCCTGAGCACAGAGCACTAGAATGTGGTCCAAACTCCCATCCTCACAAGAAGGTAACTGTGGCCAGGGCAATATACAGGGCCTTGCACCTGGCTAACCAGATTGGATAACCAGCACCCTATTGGTCCCCCAAGCTTGCCAGGAGTTATTCCTGAGCACCGAGCCAGGAATAAGCCCTGAGTATAACTGGATGTGGCCCAAACCCCTCTGAATCTCCCCAAAGAAGATAGGGATACAGAGAACAGGGAGATGGCTCAAAAGACAGACTTTGCATGCAGGAACCCCAGGTTTCATCTCTAGTATCACATGACCCCTTCTCAAGGTCCCCTGTGTGTTGACAAGCACCACTAGATACGATCATAAAAGCAACAAAGTAGATTTCCAGGGTAGGTGGTGATAAGTGATTCCTTTGCTGCAAAGAGGGCTGTAGATCAACATCAGCATTTGGAACCTTCTGTTCTAGGAAGGAATCCAGAGAACTAAGGTACAGATCAGGAAAGTTGGGACCTCACACCTCCCCCCAAAAAAAAATACAGGGCTGGAAGTGCCACTAGGCCTTCACTTTTACAAGTAAGGTTAATGGACAAGGCCTCTAGGGGCCAAGTGTCTGAAGCTGCTGCTGATGACAGTGGCAGCTGGACAGGTCCTTGAGCTCAGCCCCAAAGAACACTGTTCCCTTGATCCACTGCAATAATAGTTTCCAGCAGAGCAGATGATAAAGGTATTTGGGAGAGATTTCACAAAACCAATTGTGTGCAATAGCAGCAAGGAAAATATGACAGTAAACAACACCAGTGGCACAGGCCAGACCAGAGTCATTTTCTAGAATAAACAAAATCTGGAAGTTTTAACAATGAGCATTACTGGGAGAGCAAGCTCAACAGTCTGGAATACAGGTTTTGCATGTTGGAGGCCTGGGTTTGATCCCTAGCACCACATGTGCATGGCACATTACCCTTAGTAGTGCCAAATGTGACCCCAAAACAAAAAAATAAATGAAATTAAAAGTGAACTGGGGCTGGAGCAATAGTACAGCAGGTAGGCCTTGCACATGGCCAACCAGGGTTCGATTCCCAGCATTCCATATGGTCCCCCGAGCACTACAAGGAGTAATTCCTGAGTGCCAAGCCAGGAGTAACCCCTGTGCATCTCTGGGTGTGACCCAAAGAAAGCAAAAAAAAATTTTTTTAAAGTGGTCTGGAACAACACTTGTGGAACAGCACTTGCCTTGCATGTGTGAGGTCCTGAGTTCAAACCCTAACACTGTAAAAGAAGAAGGGGACTGGGGGGAGAAGAAAAGAAAAATTCCTGGGAGCTGGAGTGATAGCATAGTGGTTAGGGCGTTTGCCTTGCACATGGCCAACCTGGGTTCGATTCCCCACATCCCATATGGTCCCCTGAGCACCAAAGCAAAAAAAAAAAAAAGAAAGAAAAATTTCTTCCCCCTCTTCATCTTTATCCTGTTCTGTTTGTCTGTTCCCTGCTTTTCTTTTTTGGTGGTATTTATTTGGAGGTGGCGAGGAACACCTCACTGTGTTCAGGGCTTACCCCAGGCTCCGTGCTCAGGGGTGATCCCTGACAGCACTTGGGGACCAACCTCAGCCACATGCAAGGTAGACTGTCTCTCCATTCCCCTGCTCAGTGCTTTCTATGTAATTTCTGGTTGATGTTGGCTTTCCTGTGGCAGGCAGATGACAAGAAAACAAAGGACACTATGAAATAAATTAAAAGTGACCTAGCTGTAAGATTTGAAAAAGCAAACCATTTTTTTTAAGTTTACTTTCTTTGTTGAATCACTGTGAGATAGACCCTTACAAAGCTGTTCATGACCGGGTTTTAGTCATACAGTATTCCAACACCTATCCCTCACCAGTGTACATTTCCCAGCACCAGTGTCCCCAGGTTCTCTCCTATCACCTACCCCCTAGCCTGCCTCTTTGGCAGGCACTTTTCTTCTCTCTCTGTCTCTGTCTCTGTCTCTGTCTTTCTCTATCTCACTCTCCTTTTGAGCATTGTGGGCAAATGCTTTTGATAGAATATCAAATTCCTGGCTCTTGGCCTCCCACCCAAGTATGATTCCAACTAGAATCATATATTACCCCTCTCGGGTTGGAGACGTAGCACAGGGGGTAAGGCGCTTGCATGGCCAGCATGAGTTCAACCAACAGTTTAATCCCCTGAACCCCTCCAGGAGTGATTGCTGAGTGCAGATCCAGGAATAAGTTCTGAGCACCACCGGGTTTGGCTCAAAAAACAACAATAACAAAAATCAAATGCTACCTCTTTCCAGAGCCTTCGAGGATGGCATGGTTTCCTGTGGACCCACTTTTTCGGTGGAAGACTTCAAGACTATGGCCAGCTCCTGCCTATCCTCTGAGACATGAAATTTGGTTTTAAATTTTGGGTGTTTGGTTCTCATTTCCTGGGTTGGTGCTCAGGAATAGATCCCAATGGTGCTGGGGAGACCCTGTGGTGCCAGGGATGGAACCCCAACCTTTCATATGTAAATCCTGCACTCAGTCCTCTGAGAGACTTCTCTTGTCCCTGAAAGAAGGATTTTTCTGGACTCCTAACAGCAAAGGTTGGGGCCAGAGAAGGTAGTGCTGGTGATTTCCTTGAAAGTGGCCACACTTGATCTGTGGCACTCCGTGGGGTCCCTCTAGGTGTGATCCTTGAGAACTGCTAGGTGTGACCCAATCCTAACCTCCCCACACACAAAAGAACAGCAAAGGTCAAGTAAAGTTCAAGCAAGGGTTGAGGTGTGGATGGCTCTTAGCAGTAGAGTACAAGCGTTGCATGTAAGACTCTGGCTTCAGTCCCCAACACACACACACACACATACACAAAAGAAAACCAGAAGCAAGGATAGACATAACTTTTTTGTCCTTGTGGTTTGTTTTGTTTGGGGGCAACACCTGGTCGTGCTCAGGAGCTACTCTCAACTCTGCTCAGAGGTCACTTCTGGCAGTACTTGGCAAACTATCTGGTGGCAGGAATGGAACC